GACAGCCGGGGTGCCCACCCCGACCCACGGGCAGGAGATGGAGACCCGCTGCTGCCTGGGACAGGGGAGGAAGGGCCAGCTCAGGCATCTCCATCCAGGGGTGACGCTCAGCTCAGGGCACGACGTGCCCACGGCGTGATCGTGGCACCCTTAGATCACCTGGAAAAGGTGCTTTTGGCTCACGGGAGCGCAGCCCAATAGGGCGATCCCGGGATGCTCGGATGCAGCCAGCCCGTGGATGGGGCTGGGGGAGCAGAGGGGGTCCCTGTCCTCCCCGTGCATGCCCAAACCCAAGCTGCCGTCCAAGCGATCAGTCACCATGTGCCCTGGAGGCTTTCTACAGGGTGAGGTGTGTTTGAACAAATGCCCCCAAAATCCAAGCCACGGGTGCCTTGTGAAAGAGAAACGCCGCAGGTCGAGCAGCATTCGTGTCCTGGCCAGGCTGCTGAGCAGAGGGGGAGAGCAGCCCTGAAATAAAGCAGGAATTTGGGAAGACAAACAGCAGTAACTCACTCCGCTCTGTTGCCGGAGGAAAAAATCCCAGCACCTCCTGGAGCCGGGCAAGGGTCCGTCCTCCCTCCCCCCGCAAACAGCACCGCTCCCCGGGGCATCTGCGCTCCCGGTAACTGTTTATTAGTAGTATTTTATGAGTCAAAGAGAAGAAAAGCATCTCTGGCATCTTCGGGAGAACCGAGGCGGGACAAAATGTGCTGGCTGCAGGAGCTGCTGCCCTTTGTCACACTGGAAAACAGGCTGGATGTGCCAGACCAGCTCCTCCAACCCCAAAACGCGATCCCCAGCACCCATGGGAGATGCTGCCCAGCCCCTGGGGCTGGCAGAGGAGCTGCTGGTGGGTCTGGTCCCCGGCGAAGCTTTGCATCCCTGTGAGAGCAGCCACTTGGTGCTCATCTGAAGAGCAGATTTTTGGGATTAGGGAAGCTGCAAAACTGAAACGTAGCAAAATCCCAGCAGGAGCTGGAACACAGAGCGTACGCGCATGGGGGAACCTCAACGGGAGCCAGCATATAACGTGCATGCAATGTCTCCAGGGACCGCAGTATATTGCGCGCATGTGTGTACGCCTTGCTGGAGCCCGAGCCGCCTGCGTCTGTGCCAGGAAGGAGAGGAAAACTCCCTTTGGCAGCGCCCTGTGTTGTCCTCGCTCACCAAACACCGGGACAAGGCGGTGCCAGTGGCACCCACCACCCTTGGCCACCGAGCGAGGCACGCCGGGGCTGGCTGGTTTCGCACAGACCACTGGAAGGAGGGAGCAGGTCAGGGCAGGACAGAGCCCTTGACGGCCCTGCGAAGAATAGCAAAGCTCCTCTGAGTCACTGCCCGGGCCGAAGAGGACAAGGAAGCCAAAGTGCCCCATGCCAACGGCAGGCACGAGGGCAGGAAATGAGCAGGCTTGAGTAAGGCGTGCTGGCAGCCCTGCTCTGGGCTGAGCAAAGGGCTTGGTATTAAAGCAAGGGCGAGATATTTCCATGCTGCCGTTTCTTCCCTGCCCAGAGCGGGTGGGGTGACGGTCCTTGCAACGCCCACATTCTTCTCCCAGACCCCCGGAGAAAGCCAAGGCACTTTCTCTGCTGCCTGTGGCAGGACATGATTTTGCACGGTGTCTGGGCAAGGAGATGTCTCCGTCCCTGAAGGTCTCGGAGGAGCATCCCCTACTCCGGGGACCGCAGAGCTCAGCTCGGAGGAACATGCTATAAGGCAAAGCAGAGGGCTCCAACTCTGCCTGTGTCGGGCAAACCTTCACCATCACCTCTGACGACGGGCTGGTTTCAAACCCCCCATGGCTGTGGCTGCTAGTTGTCATGTTGGGTTTTCGCTTGCTGCACCACCTCACGAGCAAAGCCCACGTGCTGGAGCTCCGGGAGCCTGCCCAGTTCCTGCCCGCTCCCACCCCAGCCAGCCCTACAGAAACCGGGGCTTGGCTGCAAAAGGAGAAGGCAGCGGGGGAAGCGGCTGCAAGAGCACGCACAGGTGTCTACACCCAGATCTCGGCACGCAGGAGGCTGGGTTCACCCCAGCACCCAACCTCCACCCCCACCGCCTCCAAAAGAGAGCAGGGGCTGGGCTGGGACCCTGGGAGAAGGCAAAGGCTCGTTCTCATCGCTCTGCGGCACCCAAACTGCGTGCGGGACCGCAAACCCCAGCACTGCACGTGTAAACTCAAGCGCGGCAGGCTTTACGGACTGTGGCTACACACGGGCTGAACACGCGCGTGTTCGCCCCCCCTCCCCAGATATTCACAGCTTACAGGTCTTCTGAGTGTTCACACTTCGCCCCGTGAAGGCAGAGTTAGCTTTGCCATGGGTTGCTCTGGAGCAACACGCATTTAACACGTGTGCAAGGCACACGCGTGCACCGAACCAGCTGAACGGCAGCAGCACTCTAAAATTAAGCCTCGCCACTCCCTGTGCTGCTAATTCTACCCTCTCTGCCGTGTGCCCTGTGACACAGTCTTTCATTTCGCGACCGCATGCCATTGCGCTGAGTCCCTCCGAGGCTGATGTATACTGGGCGTTGAACGCGTTCCAGCCGCGGCTTCGGGCGGCCTGCTCGAGACGCGGGTT